CGTAGCCAATCTGTGGGATTGTTCAGTCAGATAATACGCCGTCATCCTGATTGGTGACATTAAATGTCATGTCGGAGTCACAATCCAAGGCTGTCGCTATGTTCAGGTTGTTTTTATGGGTTCTGTTGGTTTTTCCTAAAAACCTGTCGGATAGCAGGTTTAGGATTGTTAAGGGTCGGATTATCGAGTCACGACTGTAGTTACCTTTTGCGACATGAATTCATCACTACCATGCATCTGTCCTGGCACTGTGGTGTTTGTGCATGAGATCAACACATCCTCACTTTACAAGAAGCACACGTGTGCTGCAACAAAGACACTAACCACCAACAATCACAGCCTTTTGTGGATACAATCATTACACCATGGAAAAGCGAAAGAATCAACTCTTAGATGCTGGTCAGAAGCTCTTAGCCTTTTTCCGCAGCACCAACTTGTGGAGGGACTCCATCATCTACTGTTTAAATGTAAGACATGCTGCTCTCTAAGCAAAACCGACATCTGTATCATAAACAGATGTCAAAATAACGACCAGCTTGTAATCTGAAATCAGAATATTATAAGTACTGCTGTTGTTTTCCAGGTAATGAAAGTATGTTCCAGGCCAGTCCCTGTTGAACAAACTTTATAATATGACTTTTATTATGAACGCAAGCTGTGAAGGAAACAACCAGACGAGCTTTTATCGTATCATCAAACAATGCGGTCTACAAAACCACCAGCAAATCTGGAATAATTGCACAATCCTGCCCTCCTTTTGAAGATATTCTGTTTACACGAGGAGTCATTAATTCATATCACAGGACAGCTTGAACAGTGAACATATGAACCAAATGTCTTCATCGGGGTGAAAAGTAGATTCAAATATCTTGGCCTACTGTTAAAAACTTCCCAAGTACTCCTGATACTTCATGCAGAATGAGGAGACAGATTGTGAGCAGTTATCATTCTAGTGTGTTTTGCATTAATTGATTGTTATTTTCTAAACCTAACCCACTTGGAAACAAGCTATAAGCACCAGACTGGCACAGCATCACCTTCACAAGGAGCTATAACGAATGTGTTAGTGAACATTTGTCTGTTCACACATCAAACAGATATAGAGCAACATTAGTGCCTATTTGGTGTCCTGTTTCTGGCCACCTGATGAAAGCCAGTGCAATATACATTCTGCTTTTATCTCCGTTTGTTCTACACCGACTCCTGAGGGACGTATCTGTTTCCCACTATGTTAACGAGCTAGCTGCTAACTTTGGCTCTCTGCAGCGTAATGCTGGGCATGTAGCGTTCCCTTGGTATAGAACAGCACAATGGGAACCTTTTCGCTGCTGAAGCATGAACAACATGCCAACGAGGGAGTTGAAACTGAACCAAAAAGCCATGTGACCAAAACACACTTATGAGTGCTGCTATAAGCTCTCACAATGCATTGTTAATGCTGTGATGCATTATTAATACATAATTAACGCCTCATGCATACGTATGTGAAGAATTATAGATCACAACTCAGTCGTTAAGTTGAGGGTTAAACTTTTCAGAGACGTGAAATCAGCCTGCCTCTCACAATGCTTGTCCTATTCTGACATGTGTGTATTAGACGTTTTGAACTGACGTACCCTGTGCACAGTAGCCCATACAGCCCTGCGTGGGCTGGAGCAGGTAAACGTAGAAGTCGCCGCAGTTCCGGACGGTTACCGGGATGCGGAACATGCAGCAGTCCTTGCTGCTGCTGGGGAAGAACTGCCAGGCAGCGCAGGCCGTCAGCTGTCGGACCTCCAGAGGCCCCGGCAGGGACTCACCCTCGGCCAGAGACAACCACACTGGAGCCTGAGTCCCACAGTGGTTCACCTGGAAGTGTAGAGCCAAACAGAGAACATCAGAACAGTGGGGTGGCACCGCACACATTTTGATGGTCTATTCTGAAATCGCATTGCTGCTTTTTAATAATAAGGCATTATGGTCATTCTTTGCCTAAAATGAACCCTCTTGATAGATGGAAGTGTTTGTTTTTCAAAACTGAAAATAAGTTTTGAAAAAAAAAAAGAGAAATAATCACTGCTAGTACCAACACATTGCCTAACAGTAAGTACACAGCTGCTGGGAAAAGCAGTCAAACACCTCTTGTCCAAACATACTTGGCCAATAAAGCTGATTAGGATTCTGAAAACATTGGAGCTCTCAGAAACAAAAACACCATTAAAATAAATGGATCCATTAAAGGACAGAGGAGGTGTAAATAACCACTTTGCACTAATACAGAATACATTCGAAAACACCAAAAACGTATTCGACAAAGCTGCAGTTTGCTGCAGTTAATCCCCCCTTTAAAAAAAAAAAAACAATCCTCAGCCTGACAGATCTAACCATTAATTTGCCATCATCATAAAGATATCGCCTTATTATATAACACATGTTCACAGCGATGCTCCCTTCCTTCCTCCACCCACTCCCGTAGCTATCCATCACCCAGGGGGAGCAGCGATGCCCTGGGAAGGCAGAGGGAGGCTGACACTTCAGATGGATCCTGCAGGCTCACAGCAGGCCACCCGCAGGAAATGAGACACATTCCGGCTCTCCTTGCACTCTCCTTCATAAATACGTACACACATGCAGCAGCTATGTGTGCGTCCAGTCGTATGGATCATGCTTGCACACACGGAAACTGTGTTGTTTTGTTTTTTTTTGACACATGAACAAACTGTGGAGTGACGACAGAAAGCTCGCCACAGAGTTCCTCCACATGAGGTCACGTATGACGTCTCAGGAGATTTCAGGTCCTGATCTGTTTATATTTGTAACTGAAGGAACACACACATCGCTTGTGTATTACCACCGGCCTTCATTGCGTGCTTCTGGAAAGAAAATGCGAAAGTGATTGATGAGATAAAATGGTAATCACTGAGGTCATGAGAATTTTACAGCCTTCAGCAAACGACTGAGAATCTGAAGTCAGTCTGTGCCAAAGAAAACCAGAAAAAAATACAGGTTTCTGGCTTTTACCTCATTTATAATAATATGTCTTCAAAAACTATACTGATCGTGCGTGTATTATGACCACATCTTCACCTAAAAGATCGATCTAAGAGCTGATTCTTGAAACAGCTGAGGAGCTACAACAGTGAATTTGCTGTCATTATGGAGTCCTGGATCTGAATGCCTGAGTAAAGCTTTAAACTCAGTTTCAGTGGCAAAGCCTGCAGACGGTTGAACGGCCAGGAAAGGAGCTTGCACGCTCAGCAAACCTTCAGTGGATCTCTACATGTCAAAGTTTGGCAATTTGGCATATTGACAAAGTGTCTAGCAGAGACTTCGATGAGATGACTGAAGCAGGTGATTAGCTTAGCTTAAGACTGAAAGGAAGGGAAACCGTTAGCGAGGCTCTGTTTTGATGTGAAACATCCAATGGCCGACACCAACAAACAGCTCCAATGCTAAGTATAAATAAGCAGCAAGTAAAAGTAAGCAGTGTTAGTGTAGCCTGAACTGTTATCGGGTGCAACTGTTGGTTTGCTGTAGACAGCCAGTGATTGGTTTATTTCTGTACAATATTGAAAACAATCAGTGCTTTACAGTTTACAGCAATACAGAGTCAACTAACTGATCTGCATACCGTATTCAAATGAATGGAAATCAGAGGTTGCCTGAGAAGACGATGGATGGAAGGTGATGTCATTTGTAATCATATCACAACACTGGAATGGCTCTTTAAAGTATAAATGGCACCAAATATTCTGGTACATGTGAGAAAGACACACAACGCTTGAGGACAGCTGACACTTCATTTTTTAAATAAAGAATATCGTTTACCTCCACACACTGGGTGGGCATACTGGCAGGCTTGTCAAAAATCTGAAACTGGTACCACCCCGGTGTGAGGGAGTGGTCGCAGATGAAGTCCTGCAGGGCCGACTGCTGCAGCCAGCTGGAGCTGAAGGTGGTGCTGCGGTAGGGGTTCTGGAGGACAGAGTGGCCGCCCGGCGCACACTCAGGAGGGAGCACTGCGAGTACAGCCAGAGAGACAACATAAGCACTGGATGCTCACCAAGACTGTCAACAGCAATGATCAAATGCTGCATATGGAAAGCTTTCCGTTGGCCAAATATTGGGTTTCTGGACGTCCACTCGCCAGCTGGTCCGCGTTCAACAGAAACATTTCAAATTGAATTTCAAAGCTGATAAACTGTTACAGTTCTGGCAAGTGTTGAGGTTCGTACACACACCGACCACAGGAATGAAACATGGAGGAGGAGGAAGCATGATGTTATCGTTTAAGAAGTGCATATATTTACTGAATAAGACGCACGATATACGAGGAGCGTCAGAAAAGTTCCAGGACTGGTGTCACAAAAGATATGTTTCAAATACAAACTACAAGTTTTGCCCTTTAAAGTAATCCTCCTGGAGTCTAGCACACTTCTCCAGGATCCTCTCAGCTCCGTCCTCACAGCCATCTTGATGTCGTCCACGTCTTCTAAACGGGTCTCCTTGATGACCCCCTTGAGCTTGGGGAAGAGGAACCAACCCCATGGAGCCAGGTGGGGTGAGTAGGGAGGTTGCTCCAGCACGGAGATGTTCTTCTCAGCCAGGACCTGTGGGATGCTCAGGGCGTCGTGAGCAGGTTGTCATGGTGACACAGCCTCCACTGGTCCTGACACAACTATCGCCTCTTCTGGAACGAAGCAAACGCTGCAGGATCTCTTCGTAGACGTGCTGGTTGATCGTCTGAAGGGGAAAACTCCTAGTTTGTAGCTTGGGTTTGAAATATACGTTTTGTGAAACCAGTCCTGGAACTTTTCTGACACACCTCATACGACTACCTCAAGCCAAACCAGAAGGGACCCTGGCCCATTGACCGTCTGTCATTGCATTTTCATGAGTCTGTGCCTAAATTACCCAGAAGAATTCCTTTTTCAATGATAGATAAACATGTCCGAGGGAAGAGGTCAGTCTGGGTCTGAGGATGGTTGTGGGAAACACACGGAAGCCACATCCTCAGAAAGACGACTAGACAGGAAGGAAAGCAAAGCAGAGAAAAATCTGGATGCATAAAACTGAAGTAATCTACATCCACTGCCAACCAAACACTGCACTCTGTACACGAGTCTACGGGTTGAACAGAACTTCTGTAATATGTAGACTTGTTTTACTAAATTCAGCTTATGTGTTTTAACTGCAGCTAGTGAATCATCTGGCATCTTTATTAAAGCTTCACTAGAGCACTTGCTAGGATCTTTAAACACCGTTATGAAGCCAAACCTAACAGCAGTATTTTTAATGGATGTTGAACGCAGGATGTTACTACTGATGCCCATATGGTTCATTTTCAGAGGGAGGATGTGATTGGTAACCTTTGACTGCTGACTTATTCTTTTTGCTAACAACAAGCCCTTTCAAAAAATAATCTTGCTAGTTTGAGGTCAGATCTGATTTTAAACTGACAGCTTGAGTGCTTTTAGAACACAATAAAATAAAAACGGGGACAGTATAAAACTGTGTAGAACACTTTTATCAAAGATGATGAAAATAAATCAAGGCCCACTAAAGGAGGCCACAATGTTTTGCCGAGGTCACACAAATAACCTCCATGTGTGAAACTGATGATGGACTGTGATTGGATTCATCACTAACAGAGGATTGTGGCCTAAAATTTACACTGTTCATTATTTCTACATTAACAGTAGAAACCTGAAAAAAGTCATTTGTAGTCTCAAACCCACAGAGACCTTGTTGCGGCCCGTTATCCATGATCTATCTATCTATACACCGCTTCATCCTCACTCGGGTCGTGGGAGGCTGGAGCAAAAACAACATGCAGGTTTAACGTTACTAATTCAATCTGCAGTTTTCTTACTTTTGATGACAAAAAAGTCCAAAACAAAAAGACATATAACAGACAAAGAAAGGACAAGCAAAACAGAACCATAAACTTCCCCCACTGTGGGACTGACTGGTGGAAAACGTTTGTTCTCATGTCTTATAGATTGTTCCATCTTTGTGGATGTTACTGAACCTCCTACATACATGAGCTCTGCTTGACTACAGAATGAACTGGACTCCACTGCTAGTCGTCATCACCGTTATTGACCCTGAAGCATACTGGAAAGAAGACATGACATCCATCTGCTGCTTTCAGCTCAATCCAACATAAGTTATACAGAAAAAGTTGAAGAAGCAGCAAGCAACACTTCAGATTTTTCCATTATTTCGATGGTGACATAACAGCAAAACGGCAGCTCAGTGTGTCAGGCTATACGGCACAACTAACGGGTACAACGAACAGGAAAAAGATGTGATTATAAATCTAAGACCAGGAAGTGAACACCGGCGATTTAGGAGGTCAACACACAGCACGGCTTGATGTTGATCGTATGTGACGTCCAAGTGGAACGTGACCAAAGAGCATCAGGCCAGTAAAGTGAAATAAAAAGACCGAAGCTGTAACCAAGACCCAGCCTCTGTTTCCGTCGCAAAGTTTTCCACCCTGACCTAGGTGGTCAAGTGAAAGGCGATATCCTGACGGGGTCGGCACAGCGGTGACGGGCAGACAAGCCGCTGAAAGAGACGACAGGAGCTGTCAGAGCTGACATCCTTCATACTCAACACCTGGTCACTTCAGTCCTCAACACCTCCACAGGAACTCAGAGGGTCCACATCCTGTGAGCCGTCTGAGGGGACAGCCGGAAAGCCAAAGGCCCAACTGTGGGTAATGTGGTTGGAAAGACAGTGAACTGCATCCCAGCAGGACTCTGCATTAGACTCTGAGCTGATACTTGGAGGTATGTGGCCTTGGATGAGAGTCACATGGTGGCAGAAGTGTGCACACTATGAAAGGAATACTGGAGCTTTATAAGAACACAGTTGATCAGATTTTAGGTTTGTTTAGTGTGTTTTTTTCTCACAGGTTATGATCATAATCAGAGAAAAGCCAAGCATTTGTGAAAACAGTGCGCAGGCGATAATTAGTGACTTACAGAATCAAACTTTGGATCACTCAGAGGAGTCAGCTTACCTGTCTGAGCGTGCATCGGCAGTAAAAACACAGCGCACAGGAGAAGTTTCCAGACAGTTTCAGGTCTCATCGTCCTGCAGTGAGCAGCGCAAACCGAACAGCACCGAACACGGAGCGCAACACCGGCACCGTCTCCGCCAAAAGTCCCGCTCGGCGCGTCAGGAGCGCAGCGCTGATCTCAGACTCACAGCAACCCAAGCAGGCGGGGGGGGGGACGTCCGGATGTAGTTGAGGCTTATTAAAGCCACTTGTTGTCGGAGGACTGAGGAGGAGGCTGTCGGACTGCAGAGCTCGGACTGCTGCAGCATCAGTGTGTTAGGAGGAGCATCAGCGGTACCAAACTCCTGCACACATCTGCACCGGGCTCACAGTTTACTGCCGCTAAAGAGGACTTCGTGGTTCTCAGAGCAACACGTAGCAGGACTGCACTGCACTTTACTTTCTTTGCAAATGATTTTTTTTTATTATAATGAACTGATCAGCTGCTTCATCTGCAAACATCAAAAAAAAGATGTATAATTTCCTATATTGTAAGCCAGGTCTCACAACTAGAGGCATCACATAATCTGGACTTTTGCTGCAAAACTGACTCCAATGTTTGACTGATTGCATTAATTTAGGTGCAGATTTGTTAACTTGTATGTAAGTTTGACAACTGTTATAGTAGTTCATCACTAACTAACCAACTTTTACTGGTTTCATGTCATTGTTCATAGAAAAACCCATCTGAAAAATAACCACCATGCTTTCCCAAGACCCAAAGCGAACAAACCAACTGTACAAAACCCAAAGATGTTCAGTTCTTTTATCAAACTGTGATTATCAGCAATCAATCAGACAAGGTTACTCCACATGCAGACAGCTTATTAACGGTAACACATCATCCGTGGCTGCTCTGTCGCTCAGTCTGACCTAAAACCAACAATCTGAACTGGATCGAGCCCGTAAAGCTCTCCACACCAAGCTTTGTTTTTCTCAGCCTGATGGTGTGATCACAAAGGCTCACCAGTGGCCAGCCAGTGATATGTCATTAGTCCCCGCTCCAAACCACTAAACCAGATGGCCCACATGCTCCGTTTTTTCAGGGTAAGCAGCCTCAAAGCCAAAGAGTGGGGTATTTTTTTTGTTTTTTTGGATGAAGCAGATATCGCATTAACATCTTTTCCCAAACTGCTCGTTTCCATTCTCACGCTTCAACTGCTGCAGCGTAGCTCGGATGTAGAGTTTCACTGGCAGGAGCCGAGAGGACGAAACTGATCTGGTCAGAGGAGGAATTATGAAACAGAGGAAGTGATTGCTCGGTTTTAATTGCAAAAAAAGAAATAAATTTCCAGAGGTGTTTTGCACCCAAAAATAAAGGCTAACAGAGGACAACAGGGGGAATGATGTGTGTGTTGTTTTGAGGGATGAGATGTTGGATTTCTCAATAGAGTCGGTTATAGCCAAAGGTTTGTCCGTCCAAAAGCGCCCGAAATCCAGAATTAAATCAATAGTTTAGCAGCTCGCTCTCTGTTCAGAAGTGTCTACATACGTCTGTTGTACAACCGCAGCTCAGATCGATGATTTAACCGGCAGGACGGTTTAAGTAAACTGTGAAGTTTCAATAAACTCACTAAGACAATGTTATGTGATTAATGATGAATAAACCTCCTGCAGATCTGCGGGCAACCAATGGGAAGCTGACAGCTGTGCAGATCGTACACTGCTCCTCCCGTCTTGTTGTTTAGACGCTGGTCTGCTCGACTCCCAGGCGGAGCAGTGATATAACCCCTCCTTCATAAATCTCCCCGACCATCAACCTAGTAAGAGCCTGGAATAGCCATCAGGTACAAAAAACAAAAAAACAACCCACTTTCTTTCCGTCTGCTCGCTCCTCGTCTTACACAACCAGCAATTAAATCTCAATCGGCCTCCTGGATGGAAAACGTGGATCTATGTCAGGGGAACGTATACATGTATGACTTTGTACCCGCCAAGTTAAATGCAGGGAGCGAAGAAAGTGGTAAACAAATGGGGATAATTGCTCCATTTTAATAGTTTAATCTATACACGGGCTCATTTTGTGCAATTTTCTCTCATTACAATCAGTTACGCAGACGTCGGAGAAACGGCAGCGCTGCAGTGTCCGCTGGGAAATGTGACATCGGCTAAATGATGCAGGGAGCTCAGACTGTATATAATTAACTTCACCTCCACCACCAACAGGAAAACTGATTGCACAAGTTGAAGCAGGAGAACACGAGAAAAGTACAAGAAAACAAACGAGTCGGCTACAGACAGCCCTAGCATCAAGAATTTTATTGGTAGCTAAGTTTATAAATCCCTAAAAGAAAGAAGCGACTGACACATCTCGGCTCTGATTTACAGCCCAAGTGAGGCTTCTGACAGTCAGCAAAGGGTGAGCGTGCTTTGCTTAGGTCCTGTGCATATATTAGGGTGCTGGGCGATCCTTTGGTTGGGCCCCCGTGGAGAAGATTTGTGCAAGATAGCATTCCTCACCTTGCTAACAGTTGCATTACATTTTAATAACAGCAGGGATGGAAGAGGCCCTGAAACAGCTCATGGAGTCACATCAGCCATCGAGGTGGTGCAGAAAACACATTAAATTATTCTCACTCTCAAGTCAAAGTGGCGGCACCACCGTGGAGAAACACGAGTAGCCGGAGTAAAAGAACGCAAAGAAGCATCGAGTAAGTTTTGTTGTTTGGGGGTGAAAACTTTGGATCTCCATTTTAGAGGGAGCAACTTTTAAGCTGTCAGAAAGAAAAGAGGAAAGCAAGGAAGAGCTTGTTTAAAATCTCGTTCTACAAATAATTTCTAGAGTCGTAAGTGGAGTTGTCAAAGAAAAGTGTTGAGCCAAAGAGTTGTGTTTGAGTCCAGTATTGTGATAAATGCTCTGGATCAGAATCAGAACTCTGTGATTGTTGCGTGCTGCAGAGCGAGCCGCTTTGTGCTTAGCTGACAAATGTGACCTCGGAGCAGCTGGGTCGTGACAGGAGCTATTCCTGCTCCAGCCCCCCGACATCCAGCCTCCCATCACATACCCCGACCCGGACTGATCGCTCAACGCCGGCCACCAACAATGCAAGCAATGTCTGTGGCATCTCTGATCCGGTTAACGAACTAAATTCTATCAGAGACAAGAGAAGGCTGCAACAGCCGTAAATCAAGACACGCGTGAGGTACCGAGCTGTTCTGAAACAACGGTTTAGAGCTGCTGCAATGACATTTCAGATTTTTAAAAAAACAAACAATTATACAATCAGGTTTTAATGTCAACAATTACATATCATATCCATTGTTGAGTAGCCACGTAATTACAGTGAACTTTATAAAAGCGTCAATAAAGAGGTTTTTCTTGTTTCTTCCCCTCTTCTAGTTTAACTTCCAGGTGTCCATTTAGCCAAAACGATGAGCCTTTGAGGTTTCGTTTGTCCGTTTTTTTGCCATGATGGAACTTAAGAGGGCGCTAATGTGAGCATCCTGACTACGTGTTGGGCTTGTCATCACCACACCTGGATAGAAACTGTGGATTTTATTCAGGTTTCTGACCGGATCTCTGACTTTCGTGCAGCAGAATCATCGACTAAATTTAGTAAGTGAGTCTATTAAAATTAAAACATGATGAAAATGTTGAACTAAAGGACCAGTCTGACACCGGTAATCCTGATCATACATGTTATAATTGCTGAGATGTTCAATGATTGAAAGGCAGCTGCAGGAAAACAATCACTGTGGGGTTATACAAGCATGCTGTTTGTGTTCGTGGGCACTTTTCGGTTTTAAACTTCAACCAACACTGGATGTATGTGCAGTGAATTACAATAATCCTACAGTGAATGATCTGTTTTCTGTATGTGGATATCAGGAGTGAAGCGTGTGGAGGTTTGAGGACTACAAAAAGTAAACTGTACAAACTGCATCACCAAGATCCAGCAAGAGACTGTAATTGATCGCGTTTTATTTGATGTCCTTTTATTTATCGCTTCGCTGTGATTTACAGTAAACCAGCTCCCCTACCTGAGCCGAGATAAAAGCAAAGAAGAAAAACGAGGAAGCGCGTCTGATCTGATGGACAGTCGTGACAAAAAAAATCCTCTCTTGCGTCAGTGACTGTGCTCAAAGAACAGTAAAAACAGATGGAGGTCTTGACACACAGTCAGACGTGGGGAAGAAAAGCATAAAAAAAAAAAAAAAAGTCCAAAAATTTAGACCAGCAGCTTCCTCGGTTGAGCCTTGGATCTTCCATTTCCTTTTATGTCCTCCAGCAGTTACGTAGCCGTGATTTACAAGCTTCATGATTTATCTGTCCTACTTTTTTTCTCTTTGTATTAAACCACTGATGCAATTAGGCTCCGTAATGTTGTCGGAGTGACACGGAGACGTCCGCGAGGCCGCTGAAAGGCAGGGTCAACAGCAGCATCTCCGGCTGTCACGTCTGACTAAAGGCTGCTGTAATTGTTTCAGCCGAGACGCCGATTGCACGCTGGCTGTAAATGTCACTGGATACAATGGTAGGAGTTTTCAGACACAGAGCGGCGGGGCCAGAGGTCGAGAGGAGCCTCTGAAGGCGGCAGCTCCCGGGTTTTACAGGGGCAGCCGGGTCAGCTCCTTCACAGGCACCGTTTGGCTTCAGCTCGGGTTTCCTGTTGCCTTCGCTCCCTTGTGTCAGCTGGCCGAATCGGTGCAAACAGAGTGACTGCGGCAGCAACACTCTGGATAAACTCGGCTGTAAGATGGTCTCTTCCGCTTACCGTCAGGAGCTTCTGAGTCAAAAGAAATGCGGCTGCAATAATCCACCATCTTGAAACGGAAGAACAGAAAAATAGACATGTACTGTTGTTTTGAGATTTTATCGCGGGACGGCCAGATGTTCTGTTTGAACCAACAAAGCTCTTGGCATTAAAAAACAGCAGGCTTCCTCTCCGTTACAAGCTTCTCTTCCATACTATTTACCTGGAAGCCTTAGTCTGTAAAAACGTCTTGCAGCAGCAGACATTAAACAGCTCTGATTGCAGCGAGAATC